GTCTTTCAGAGTACATTCTATAGGTACAGGAATGCTAAGTATTCTGGAGCCTAGGTATTCTAAATATTCTGTAGGGATTAGTCATTTTGCTACACCAATTGGCAAAAAACCTACAAGTTGTGATTATTTTGTGCGCACAGTTCCCCCCGCTTCAAAAAGTACTACTGCACGATTGATGGACTGATATCATTTTTATCTCACCACTACTGCTGTTTCCATTAATTTTTTATTCCCTCTGCATTTGACTGAAGAAGCCTAACGAGTAGGCGAAACATTTCAGAGATATTCTCAATTGTTGCACATGTCTCGCTCATCAACTTTGGTATTTTATACCTATTTCATATATAGTTTGATGTTGCCAGTGTGGTATTGTTACGAGTACTGTAAAAAAAAATATTTATATAAAATAACGCTCCATATATAATGTCATTTACTGTGTAGTATACGGAAAGTGGACGTGTATTATTCCCTGCAAGTGAATGCATTTTATTCCTGTCAGTCAGGCAGTGACCAGGACAGGAGCAGATGAGAGGTGTTTTTAGTTCAGTACCAGACAGGTGGTCACAGGGTAAAGCCATCATGTTTATGCAGTAGATTGAGTAGGTAAGTTTTTTAGTGTATACTATAGGTGTTTGTGTTTAAGTGCTCTCATGTTTATTTGTAAAGCCCTAGTATGCAGGGGCCTGTGTTTTGGAGAGTATTTAACGTTTCCACTGTAGGCTATGTAGCCTGCAGAAAGGGGGGGTATCATGGAGCCTCCCTGTTCATAAATGTTCCTTTATTTCGTTTAACTCATTAGTAGCAGTGTGCTAGTGAGCTAATGTGAACTGGAGTGTGGTGGTTTTTGTAGTAGTTATAGTACTTACATACAACTTATAACTACTACAAAAACCACCACACTCCAGTTCACATTAGCTCACTAGCACACTGCTACTAATGAGTTAAACAAAATAAATGAACATTTATGAACAGGGAGGCTCCATGATACCCCCCCTTTCTGCAGGCTACATAGCCTACAGTGGAAACGTTAAATACTCTCCAAAACGCAGGCCCTGCATACTAAGGCTTCACAAATAAACATGAGAGTACTTAAACACAAACACCTATAGTATACACTAAAAAACTTGCCAAAATTACCTACTCAAACTACCGCCCAAAAATGATGGCTTTACCCCGTGACCACCCGTCTGGTACTGAACTAAAAACACCTCTCATCTGCTCCTGTCTTGGTCACTGCCTGACTGACAGGAATAAAATGCATTCACTTACAGGGAATAATACATGTCCACTTTCTGTATACTACACAGAAAATGACATTATACATGTATATGGAGCGTTATTTTATAAATATTTGTTTTTACAGTACTCCGTAACAGGTATCCATATTTTACTTACATTTGTCCAAAATGTAAATTACAATTGCACAGTTATTTCTTGCTTTAATGTACACTGCTATTTGACATTGTCTTCAAGTTACAGCGATATATTCGTTGTTGGTCATTCATGGGTTCAATTAAATTGTGCTTAAATTAATATTTGTCTTTTTGTCTTTAAGAGCAATTGTGATCTTGTTTGCTGCTCTGTTTCCTGTCATACCAGATAATGGCTGATTGTGGGAACCAAATCAAGCTAATGTACCTAGAGTTGAGTTTAGAACCTCTAGAATTGCTAGCCTCTTCGAAGCTAATTCGTCTATGCTCGGAGTCATTGCTGCTAGCTACTGTAGTTGCCACAAAGCCTCACTTCTGTTACATTTCTTCACTTAAAATTATTTCCACTTCTATGACTGCTCACTTGGTTGGAGGTCATAGCAAATTAAACTAATTAGTTGCCATTTCTGGATGACAGATGTAGTGCTGTCCGGATCTATCCATTACTGCTGCGAATTTATGAGTTAGAGATAATTCCTCTTCAGTGACCTATTTTCAGACAAACCTTACATTTCATGGTCTTCACCTTGCCAGAATGCGAAGACCATGAAAGATGATTCCGTACATACCTCCCTGGCCACATTCTGAGACAGTGCCCGGCTTCATACACACCTGGGTTCAGCCTTACCCGCAGGGACAGCATCCATCTTCATGTGTATACCAGTCTCTCTGTGCATGCCTGGGCTTATCCCTACCTGCAGGGAGTACGTCTATCCTTCATGTGCATGCGTTAGCTTACCATGCACACTTAGCCTAATCTTGTCTACTTGTGACAGCACTGAGGACTTTGTTTCCCAAATTTACATTACTGCCTCAAGATCTAGTCAAGTTCATATGAAGTTTCAAATTACTTCCCTCATGTATACACATCTATATACAAATATTTGAGTACACTTTAAATTATATTTCCTTGGACGTATTATTTAAATATTTGGAATTTGTCGATATTTCAATTATTCCTTTATTTACTTAATGGATCTTTACATTATATCATATCCTCAATTCTCTTACGTAGACCATGTTGCATCCCACAGCATGGACTGGTGTATACTTGTGCTTCACTGTTGTGGGTCATAAGGATAATTTTTCTTGGTTAGGTTTCTGATGGAAGACATAGCTATGGCAGCTATGCTCATGTACTTCTAGAAAGGGCTTATATGGTAATGTTGGCCACTTCTCTTCTAGGTAGAATCAAGACAGTGTTGATAGAGTTGAGTATATTCTTAGCTCTGTTTTTGCTATCTTGTATGAAGAAGGGAGGGAAGTGTATGCATATTAAGGTATGGGTCATGTACTGGAATTCTTCTAGGAATCAAGGAAATAAGAAAGATTATATGAGTAAGCTAATCTTTATATGTAAGATTTTTGGAGATTCTGAAAGAAGTGTGTCTGCTGGATGAACTTCAGAGAAAGATATCAAGCAATTGTGGTTTGCCTTCTTTTCTATTCAAGATAAATTTGATAGCACAGTAATTTCGATGATGGTGATTGGAGAAAGGTCTTGAATGTTAAGTCTTCTGGGATGAATGATCAAAATGTCATCAGCATATCTGAACCATATAATCATGTTAGGAATGTTTTTGATAAATCCTTCAGTCTATTATTTTTCCATAAAATAAAAAATGTTAGCCGGGACTGCACTCCACTGACTACCCATGGCTAAGTCAACATACAGTTTGAAAATTTTATTTTTATATCTGAAGAAGTTTGTTTTTGTACTGCTGGACGAGTGCTATAAAGCCACGGTTGGACAGATATGAGTTAGCGTCAAATGTAAGTTTACGTTTGAGTGTATCAACAACCCCCTAGCAGGTCCTGCCCACCTGGGACAATGTCTGTACCTCTCTTCTGGCTTCAATATACAGTACAAAGTGTCCATCCTCCTTGCTGTGTGTCAGATGACTAAGGATAAGTGAATGAACATCTATCAAGTCTAAAGATTAATTACATCATCTTTCCCTGTCTTCAACATATAGTCTCTGTAATGAATTAAAAAAAAAAAAAAAAACAGCGGCTGGTGAGAGGCCTTCATAATAAAAATATGCAGGTGTTGCACATGTATCATTCGTTTGGTCACTATTATATACTATGAATGTAATGATACCTTTGTGACACATCAACACTATGGAATCTTGGTACAGAGAATATCTTTTATAATCCTATTGCTAACCTCTGTCCCCAGTGCTTGGGCACGGCCTATTTCCACTTAGTGGCCCCCGCCCACCTTCATCTGCTGCAACTCTCTTTTGGCTCCAATGTGGAAGTGTGAATTCTCCTGCTTCTGCTTTAGATTGGTCAAAGATAAGGTAGTGAACACCTGTCCAATGTCTTCAATATATAATTTCAGTATAATAATGAAAACGACAAAGATTAGCGAAACGTCATCATGATAAAGGTACCCAGTATTTCACTGGTGCCTTATTAATTACCTATGGGCTGATAATGCAAAAAATGTGCAAAATTTTTAACAATTATTTTCTGTTAGTCTTTGCATAAGAAGAGAAACAAGATCCAAGTAAGACACATATGCAACAGTTAGGTATGTTTATTTCGCAACGTTTTGCCTACACAGTAGGCTTCTACTTTTCTGTACTCGACTGAAGAAGCCTACTGTGTAGGCGAAACGTTTCGAAATAAAGATACCTAACTGTTGCATATGTGTCTTACCTAACAATCTGTCGGTATTTTATAACATTTTAATGTTCAAGATCCAAGTAACCAAGTGTCTTCATTGAGGAATCTTTAATTGGTTGCCAGAGTATCTTTTTTTTATATTTCTACTTCCAATTTTTCATTTTTATTTCACTGGTAACACGAGAAAGCCTCATCTGATCAGTTTCAAAGTTTCAGCATTATTGTGTGGTAACTAGGTCAAGATTCTAGGAATAGTTGTCATGAGTAAGTGCACAAGACAATTGTGGCTTCAGTATTAATGACTGATGTGTCTTACGGCCAGGAAAGTTTGCATTAATTATTGACTGCAGGTCCCAGTTTGTCTGTTTTTTCAAGGTTGTAGAAAAACTGAAATCCTGCTTTTCATGTAATAATTTCTGAGTGCCTCATCCAACTGACTGGCTTCACACTTCAACGCTGATAACTTGATAATGTAAATTCTAACAGGCACCAAATTTAATGACCTGGCGTATTATAGAATATTGGGCTTTCTGAGAAAAGAGAATGCCTCTTCAATTTGGCTTCAAATCTTAGTAGAAGGTTTGAATAAGTTTTGGGCTGAGTACCTTCTCATTTACCATTTTTATGGAAGAAACTGATACATTAGCATCCATGTGGTAACTTGTGAATACCTCTTCTGATTTGTTTCAAATCTTCAACGTTTACATTAACCACATTAAAAACTTATGTCCCACCCTGCACTATTCCTTTAGTGTGCAATGAGGCACATTGGACTGGGGTTATGCAATACTAGGATATTTTTCTCACACCGCACAGTGACCTAGATGCATCTAGTTTCCGAAGACCTCCTGTTTACCATGGATGTTATCAAGTCCCTGATGGACGAAACATCCTCATAAATATAATGGCATAACCCGCAGATTGTGTCTTATTTACCTAGAGCCGCATCCGACACCGCAACCGCATCTCCGTTACACACTCCTGAAAACCACGTGGAGGACTAAAGTTATTCTGACAAACTTGTAATGTTATTCTTAAATTATACATACTTCATTATTATTGTAACTCATCTTGGGGTGTGTGCTGAGCACAGTGGTCAAGAAGTAAATAAATTAGCACGTATACACTTGTGGGAGTGTGATGGTGGGAATACACACTTGTGGGATTGTGGTGGTGGGAATACACACTTATGGGATTATGGTGGTGGGAATATACACTGTGGGATTATGATGGTGGTGGGAATACACACTTGTGAGATTATCGTGGTAAGAATACACACTTGTGGGATTGTGGTGGTGGGAATACACACTTGTGGGATTATGATGGTGGTGGGAACACACACTTATGGGATTATGGTGGTGGGAATACACACTTGTGGGATTATGATGGTGGTGGGAACACACACTTATGGGATTATGGTGGTGGGAATACACACTTGTGGGATTATGATGGTGGTGGGATTATGGTGGTGGAAATACACACTTGTGGGATTGTGATGGTGGGAATACACACTTGTGGGATTGTGGTGGTGGGAATACACACTTGTGGGATTGTGGTGGTGGGAATACACACTTGTGGGATTGTGGTGGTGGGAATACATGCTTGTGGGATTGTGGTGGTGGGAATACACACTTGTGGGATGGTGGTGGTGGGAATACACACTTGTGGGATGGTGGTGCTGAGAATACACACACATGGGGTGGTAGTGGTGGGAATACACACATGTGGGATGGTGGTGGTGGGAATATACACACATGTGGGATGGTGGTGATGGGTATACACACATGCAGGATGGTGGTGGTGGGAATTCACACATGTGGGATGGTGGTGGTGGTGGGAATTCATACATGTGGGATGGTGGTGGTGGTGGGAATTCATACATGTGGGATGGTGGTGGTGGAAATACACAACTGTGGGGTGGTGGTGGTGAGAATACACACCTGTGGGATGGTGATGGTGGTGGTTTGAATATACAGCTGGGGTAGTGGGAATATAAAGCTGGGGTTGTAGGAATATACATCTGGGGTGATGTTGGTGATGGGACTCTACAACTGGTGTGGTGGTGGGAATGTACAACTGGGGTGGTGGTGGGAATATACAACTGGGGTCGTGGTGGGAATATACAACTAGGGTGATGGTGGCAGGAATATACAACTGGGGTGGTGGTGGTGGTTGTTGAAATATACAACTGGGGTGGTGGTGGTGGTGGGAATATACAAGTGGGGTGGTGGTGGGTTACATTGTAATCCACAGTTACTTAAGTTATACATATTATTCCTCACATAAGGTTCTAAGCAATGTCACTAATTTCACTCCTGGTATGTTGACTTGCTAATTTCACCCCCGGTATGTTGACTCGCTAATTTCACTCCCAGTATGTTGACTCGCTAATTTTACTCCAAGTATGTTGACTCGCTATTTTCACCCCTGGTATGCTGACTCGCTAATTTCACTGTCGTTATGTTGACTTTCAAGCAATTTTACTCTGGTATTTTCACTCCCAGTAAAAAATATAAATAGTTTTATTTAATTACTTAAATAATAAACATTTAACTTAGGCACAGTAATATTAACACTAACCTAGGCTAACATTATTTAACTAAACCTCGCCTAACTTACACCTAACCTATTTTAACTATCTAACCTAACCATAAACTGCTTGGTTTATAATTTTTTAAATGTTTTTGATGATGGTTTTTATTAGCAGGAGTATCATTAGTGGGAGACCCATTAGCAGAAGTCCCATTACCGAGAGTCCCATTAACAGAAACTGTCGCAAGAAAGCAGTCTACTGATACATACTATTGATCACACACTGTGTTGCATGTCTCTGTGGGGACAAGAAATCTTGATCCTAACTCAGGAGCTGCATATGATAGGATGGATGGGTAAGCAATGTGGCAGGTGCTTCAAGTGTATTGAATAGGAGGTAGGTCACCGAGAGCAGTTAAGAGTTTTTATGAGGATAGCGAGGCTCAGGTTAGGGTATGTAGGAGAGAGGGAGATTATTTCCCAGTAAAAGTAAACATTAAACAGGGATGCGTGATGTAATTTCCACCTCCAGGACTCAAGCCCGGCTAATCAGTTTCCCTGGATCCCTTCGCAAAATATTGCCTTGCTCACACTCCAACACTTCGCTAAGTCTCAAAAACCTATCTGTCCTAAACACACACATGCTTCCTGGATATCCTTGCATTCGCAGACAAAACTTATTTTACCCCCCCTTCTCTCCAAATTTTCCTAGGGGGACCCCTACCCCACCTTCCCTCCACTACAGATTTATACACCCTTCAAGTCTTCCACTGCTTCTAGCCTTCTACTCGCTGCAACATTCACCACCTATGTTTCATATTTATATAAGTGTTGGTACAATTATACTCATACATTCCCCCCTTTTGCCTCTATGAATAACACTGTCTCCACAGATGCCTCAATGCATCACCCATCTTTTTTTCTATGATAATTCTACGGTTCACCTCGTCTTTCATAGGTCAATCTGCAGACAAATTCATTTCAAAATATCTGAACAAATTCATTTCCTCCATGCTCCCTCCTTCCTATCTAATATCCAATTTTCGATTACCTAAATCGTTTGTTACCCTCATCACTTTGCTCTTTCCTATGTTCATTTCCTCCATTTACAAATGCTCCCAAATTTGTCCACCAACCTTTGCAACTTCTCTTCAGAATCTCCCAAAAGCAGTGTCATCGGCACTAAGCAACTGTGACAACTCCCACTTTCTAACAGATGCTGCATATTTTAATCCCACACCTCTTCCCAATATCCCAGCATTCGCTTCTTTTACAACCCCATGTTAAATAACCATGATGACATCACGTTTCCCTGTCTTAAGCCTACTTTTACTTGAAATAATCTTCCTCTCTCTTCTGCATACTCTGAGCCTCACTATCCTCATAAAAACTCTCAACTGCTTTCAGTAACCTACCACTTATTCCGTACACTTGCAATATCTGCCACATTGCTCTCCTATCCACCCTATCATATGTCTTTCCTAAAGCCATAAATACAACGAAAACTTCTCTATCTTTATTTAAATACTGTTCACTTATATTCTTCATTAAAAGCACTTGGTTTGGGAAATTCCCTACCCTTCCTAAGGCATCCTTGTCTATCATCGATCTTGCTCTCCATCTTACCGTCAATTCTATTATAAATAACAAATGTACACTTTACCTGGTATACTCAACAGGTTAATTGCCCTATATATTTTACACCCTCTTTTATCCCCCTTTTCCTTACACAAAGGAATTATGCACACTGCTAATCCCTAGGTACCTTCCCCTTATCATAGATTTATTGAATAGAAGTACTAACCACTCTTAACCTTTTCAGGGTTTCTGACGTACTAGTACAGCTTATGCACCAGGGTTATTGATGTACTAGAACGCCTAAATTCTAGCGCCCTCAAATCTAGCGAGAGAAAGCTGGTAGGCCTTCATATGAAAGAATGGGTCTATGTGGTCAGTGTGCATGGTATAAAAAAAAATCCTGCAGCACTCAGTGCATAATGAGAAAAATAAACTCCAACCATGTTTTTGGTTTAAAACAGCGACATTGCAGTGTATTTTCATATGGTATTTATGGTTGTATTCTAGTTTTCCTGGTCTCATTTTATAGAATTGAAGACATATTACAGAAATTGAGATGATTTTGAATGGTTTCATAATGAAAAGTACCTTGAAATTGAGCTCAAAGTAGCAGAAATGTTCGATTTTTACCAAATTTCAAAAGTAAAGAAATCATGCCAAGCGTGACTCACGAAATCGTAATGACATGATTGCAAGCAAACCATACCACAGGCGGGGATAGCACCCACGGTCAGAGAGACTCTCTGATCGCGGGTTCTATCCCCGCCTGTGGTATGGTTTGTTTGCAATCGTGTCATTATGATTTCATGAGTCATGTTGACGGCTTTGAGGGGATTTGAGCTAGAGTTCATCACGGCCATGCTAGCTGGAGATTCGTCTGTAAAAATGGACGAATCTTATTGTGGCTAGCTAGTCCAGTGGCTAACGCGATGGTCTGGAGTTCTGAGACTCTCTAATTGCGGGTTCTATCTCCACCCGTGGTGTGGTTTTTTTATGCCAAGCGTCCAATACATGTCAACTGGTGAGTCTAATATTCTTTCACAAGTGCACTGATATCATTTATACCATTTCTACACTAATGAAGTAGTCTGCATAACAGTAAATCTTCTATTTTTTGTGAGAATAAAAATTCAAAGTGGAAAGCAAAAGAGATGTAAGAAAGGCCCGAGGACCTGACTAATGAACAGAGAAAATTTTATTTTAGTGCCAGGAATGTCTGTCTTGCTTATTCTGGACCTTATTTGGAAATTGGCATCTTCTGAAATTTGTGTGAAATTGGCAAATTTGCCAATTTCTGACAACTTTGCTGGATACTTGAAATCAGTAAATAGGTGGTTTCTTGCACTCATTCGATAGAAAAAATGGAGTTTTAGCAAAATGGATATGATTTTTGTCGACTAATACACTGAATTGGCCGAAAATAGGGCTCAAAGTGGGCGAAATCACTGATGCGTAAGCATCGCCGAGACCGCTAACTTCGCAAGAGCATAATTCCATAAGTTTTCCATTAAATTTCATACTTTTGGTGTCATTATGATCGGGAAAAGATTCTCTATCATTTCATAAGAAAAATAATTTTCTATTTTTCCGAAAAATTTTCGACCCTGAGAACGAGTTTAGGAGAAGGCCTCTCGACCCTGAAAGGGTTACACTATAGTGGACCCTCGGTTATTTCTGTTCCACTTATCGGCCAACTCGGTTATCGGCCGGTTTTTCAGCTCCCGGTTATCAGCCATTATTTCGCTTATCAGCCATATGGTACACGTCAACCCGCTGCCACCAGCCGCGAGCGTGGGTTGATGTGTCTGGCTTTGTCTCTGGGTGAGTGAGGAAGCTTCTGCTCATTCATCCAAATATTTCGCTATAATTCATTGATTT